TTTATCAGCTTTGTGATGTTCCCACAGCAGGTGGTATGTGCTTTAAACCAGCCAGTGCAGATGTCACCATCCCATCAGTGTGCTTGGGTCTGGGAACTAAGTAAGGGAGGTGTGTGTGTGTGTGTGTGTGTGTGTGTGTGTGTGTGACATCTCTTACTATCACACCTAATAACCACTTGAAGGGTTTTGTTTCCCATTAACCTGCCTCTGCCAGCACTGTTACACAGTTCTGGATGATACTTCTGCATCATGATGCTCAGGATCCTGCTCCCTCTGCATCAAGACACACACAACTAGAGACAGAAACTCTGCAGGGTGGGTGTGCACAGCAGGAGGAGCTGTACCAGGAGAAGGAAGGGCTGAGGGCTGCATCTTACTAACCTCTCAGTTTCCACGGATGGGATGTGGCAGTTCTCATGAAAGGATCTTGGACAAGTATCGCAGCAGAACAGCCGTCCCCACATCCTGCACACCTCACATACATTTGAGTTTTCCAGCTAGAAAGGGAGATGATGTAGACATCACCGGAATCAGTGAGACCCCGGGAGGTCGACGTGCTGGGACTCTAGAATATATGAACTTTGCATGTACCAACGTGACGCCTGTAAATTTCTCTCTTCAATATATTAAGGAACAGCACTGAGTGGAGATTTCAGAAGACAGTCCGGCCTGCAGCAAAGCTCAGGAGATAGTGGCTGTGTGTCAGACCAGAAACGTTTTCTTCATGAAAACAGGGATTTGACACAGAATGGCTAGCAACAAAAAAAGGATGAATGAAAGACTATCTGAGAAATTTATTATTTGGCCGGCAAAGCCTGGCCAAGGAATACAGTATCTCATCTAGTTGTCCACATTGTATCATTTAAATGGACTCATTGAAGGGTGAATTACTGAGAATTTAATATGACGGAATAAGCTTCTGATATATCACTGTGTCCCATATTCTTGGCCATAAGCTCCATATGACTGAAGAAAGGGCCTGGGGAGAGGTTCGTGGGCTGTGGGTTCTGTGCTGGAGGGCCCTGAGCTTGTGGCAGTGCCTCTGATGACCAGGTACGTGCCAGGGAGGACAGAGCTCTTCAGCTCTGGGAGCCTACGGGAAGATCCCCCAAGGCTTAGTTAACTTGGCATCTGAGGTGTGAGGTACCATTTCTAATGGCCAGGGAGTGTGGTAACATCAACCACCCAGGGTTGAAGACCAAGGCTCTACGCTCATCTTCTGGGTCCATAAAAGAGCTGGTAACCTTGTTCTAGATAAGGAAAATGGAGGAGCCCAGAAAGTCAATTGATACTAGATTTCTCACCAACCTCAATACGTGGGGCCTTTAGCCAGATTTAATGTCATGTAGTGCAATTAAAAATTTGACAGTATTTGCATGTAAGTATTGTGGGGTAACTCGCATGAGTTAAAACAATAGAATTTGTAGGCTAAAATAAGAATTGGTCAAGAAAGAAGCCCACTGATGGGCAAGGGAAATCACATTCCCCCTCTCTCTTTCTCATAATTCATGTAGCAATAACACGTGGACACCTACACACTACAATTTCAATGCATGAGGGCTGTGTGTCTGTGCTGGAGAAACACCCAGAAGGATGGGCCCCTGGCTCGTCTCCTGGTACCACCTGCACAGAAAGAGAGTAGTTTGAGGGGAACTCTGCAGAGGGAATGTTTTGTCCAGTGAAATATCCCATCTATCATAGCATGGGCTGGAAGGAGGCATTCACATCCTCGTGTGACCATCTAAGCACCAAGTAATGCACCGACTTGGGGACTGGCCCACCCAGTGATGGGTGGTTGGGACGCTGGTGGGTGGTGAGGCTGTGGGGAGGTGAAGGGGCACCCTTTCACCTCTTCCTTCTAGAAGCACTCTTCATGCCTTGTTCCATGATCCTCCACCCTCTTGGATTCCCTCCTAACACTCCCCACCCAGTGGGGATCCGCTGGGGCTCTGTCCGGCATCCTCTGCTCATCCTGGTCTCCTGGATCACCACAGCTGTTCCCACGACCACGCTTACCTTCTGTAGCCCAGACTTTTAGACCTGTGTCCTGGCCTCCTTTTGAGCCCCCAAACATCCAAACCCTGCTCTTCGCCATCACCGGTGAGATGTCCTTCATCACGTCTAAACTCCATGCTGGCCCCAACCACATCTCTTGTCTTCCGGTCTCGAATCTGCTCCTCTCTTATGCTCACCATCTTCCCAGCCCCCACCATCCACCCAGAAGCCTGGAGGTGAACACTGATTCCTCCCTTTCCCCATTCCAGATATCCAACCCATCACCCGTCTGGCTGATCCTAATTTTTAAATGTCTCACTTCATTCTCAGTGCTCCGTCAGATCTGCTGCTACAAGGGTGGAGAGGCCTTAGTTATAATACTATCTCATCAGCCAAAGCAAAGTGCCCTACTATTTGGGTTAAAAATAGTAACAGTCAGGAATGTCATTCCTGAGCCTGATGAGCGTAGGTAAATTGGGACAGACCTCAATGTGTAATTTCTCCTCATCTATAAATTCACTGTAAGTAGAGATACAAAAGTCACATATATGAAGGAATTCTAGGCTGCAAGATGTATCTTGCCTGTGTGCTCTATTTCAACAGGAAAACTTGAATGGCCTATTAGGGACATCTTGGGGTCCATCCCCACACGGGCATGGGGCCCTGGCATGGGGCCAAGTAACTGTTTTTCCTTTTTGTCATAACAGATGAGAGTCATGGATGCTGACCACTACTTTTAGGCTGCTTGGTTGAGGTTCCTGAACCATCATCTTGTAAAGTGCACTGTGAGGGCACCCTGAGAATGAATAACACAGGCCAACCCCACACCTGCAGCTCCATTGCCTGGGAAGCCGCAAACTTGGTGTAGGNTCAATGCATGAGGGCTGTGTGTCTGTGCTGGAGAAACACCCAGAAGGATGGGCCCCTGGCTTGTCTCCTGGTACCACCTGCACAGAAAGAGAGTAGTTTGAGGGGAACTCTGCAGAGGGAATGTTTTGTCCAGTGAAATATCTCATCTATCATAGCATGGGCTGGAAGGAGGCATTCACATCCTCGTGTGACCATCTAAGCACCAAGAAATGCACCGACTTGGGGACTGTCCCACCCAGTGATGGGTGGTTGGGACGCTGGTGGGTGGTGAGGCTGTGGGGAGGTGAAGGGGCACCCTTTCACCTCTTCCTTCTAGAAGCACTCTTCATGCCTTGTTCCATGATCCTCCACCCTCTTGGATTCCCTCCTAACACTCCCCACCCAGTGGGGATCCGCTGGGGCTCTGTCCGGCATCCTCTGCTCATCCTGGTCTCCTGGATCACCACAGCTGTTCCCACGACCACGCTTACCTTCTGTAGCCCAGACTTTTAGACCTGTGTCCTGGCCTCCTTTTGAGCCCCCAAACATCCAAACCCTGCTCTTCGCCATCACCGGTGAGATGTCCTTCATCACGTCTAAACTCCATGCTGGCCCCAACCACATCTCTTGTCTTCCGGTCTCGAATCTGCTCCTCTCTTGTGCTCGCCATCTTCCCAGCCCCCACCATCCACCCAGAAGCCTGGAGGTGAACACTGATTCCTCCCTTTCCCCATTCCAGATATCCAACCCATCACCCGTCTGGCTGATCCTAATTTTTAAATGTCTCACTTCATTCTCAGTGCTCCGTCAGATCTGCTGCTACAAGGGTGGAGAGGCCTTAGTTATAATACTATCTCATCAGCCAAAGCAAAGTGCCCTACTATTTGGGTTAAAAATAGTAACAGTCAGGAATGTCATTCCTGAGCCTGATGAGCGTAGGTAAATTGGGACAGACCTCAATGTGTAATTTCTCCTCATCTATAAATTCACTGTAAGTAGAGATACAAAAGTCACATATATGAAGGAATTCTAGGCTGCAAGATGTATCTTGCCTGTGTGCTCTATTTCAATAGGAAAACTTGAATGGCCTATTAGGGACATCTTGGGGTCCATCCCCACATGGGCATGGGGCCCTGGCATGGGGCCAAGTAACTGTTTTTCCTTTTTGTCATAACAGATGAGAGTCATGGATGCTGACCACTATTTTTAGGCTGCTTGGTTGAGGTTCCTGAACCATCATCCTGTAAAGTGCACTGTGAGGGCACCCTGAGAATGAACAACACAGGCCAACCCCACACCTGCAGCTCCATTGCCTGGGAAGCCGCAAACTTGGTGTAGGTCTCTTTATTCTTTTTAGGAAGAAACTTGTTCTTTTGTTTAGCAGTGGTTCTCAATCTGCTGTACAGTAGAATCACCTGGGAGCTTTTTTTTTTTTTTTTTTTTTTAAGAAAATTATTCTTTTTAGGAAGAAACTTGTTCTTTTGTTTAGCAGTGGTTCTCAATCTGCTGTACAGTAGAATCACCTGGGATTTTTTTTTTTTTTTTTAAGTAAAAAAGAGTTTATTGATCATGAAAGTCTCAGTAAAAGGAGGACGCAGCATTCGAGGAGCCACCTTGGAAGCAGAGACCAGGCTTTTACCAGACACCAAACCTGCTTGTGCCTTAATGTTGGACTTCCAGCCTCCAGAACTGTGAGAAATAAATTTCTGTTCATTACCAATTACCCAGTCTGTAGTATTCTGTTGTAGCAGCCCCAAATGGACTTAGACAGCCTGAGAGTGGCAAGGGTACTGCCCGGTGCCTCTGCTAATGTCTGAACATGGTCATTTCATTTCTACAGACATCACCCAGAGCATCCTTTTCTCTTTCTTCCTCAATCTTTCATCTTCCTGCCTTCCTTCCTTTTCTTTCTTTCTCTCTCTGTCTTTTTTTTTGTCTTCTTCCCAGAGCATTAGTTTCTGAGGCTGGGAAATCCAAAGTCCAGGGAATACATCTGGTGAAGGCCTTACTTGGTGGTGGCTTCAGCGACACAGGACATTACCTTGTGAGATGGTGGAAGCAGAGAGCCACCTGGGGAGCTTTAAAGTGAATTCAGATGCCTGAGGTTTCATCACCAGAGACTGTGATTCACTTAGTCCGGGTTGGGGCATAGCCATCAGTAAGTTTTAAATGTTCTCCAGATGGTTCCAGTGTGGCTGTTAGTTGAGACCTCTGGTGCCTAAAGTAGTGGTCTCTGGACCAGCGGCATTGGTAACAGCAAGAACTTGTTAGAAACACGTATTCTTGGGCTTCACCCCTCACTTCCTGAATCAAGAGCCCAGGGGTGGGGCCTAGCCAGCTGTGGTCCACCCAGCCCTCCAGGTGGTTCTGATAGACACTACAGATGGACCAGCATCGGTCCACTCACAGCTTTGGCTGTGCTGATAAACCACCAGGGGAGCTTAGGAAAATCTCAATTTTTAGGTGGCACCTCAGAGTAGGACCCATAACACCTGAACCTCAGGGGTGGGACCCCCAGGTGATTGCAATGTGCAGCCAAGGTTGAGAACCAATGTTCTAAAAAGATTAGAACAAGGCCTGGAGAGTCATAAGTAGAGTCGTTATCAGCTGCAAGTTCATCCTAAGAAAAGTCACAAAAAGAGGTGAGGACACACTTGCTTTCATCTTCCCAGAGAGCTTGGCTGTGGGCTGTGAGAAATGCCCCTCTGTGTCTGCCTCAGTCATCAAACGAGTTTTGGAGACCCCGGAGATGAGAGTTGGTTGAGTACTGAAGGGTCCCACCTCAGCACAGGAACACAAGCAGTGTGGATGTATCTAGATCCTGCTAGGGAAGTGCAGTTACTAGGAAACCCAAGGGCATCCAGCCAGGAGGAACAGGCATGCCATCCTATAGCGAGAGGCTCCCCCTGCAGTTGTGCAAAAAGCTGACCCTGCCTAAAATGTCCTTAGCATTGCAATGAAAGGAATCAAAACATGATTTAGCTTAGAGAGTGGAGTCACCATGATTCTGGGAGAACACAAAGCAGGCAGCCATGCAGCAACTGGAGAATGGATGGGGCCTATGGGATCAGAATGGTTTGTACCAGCAAAGTGGTTTGAGTAAAAATGTCTGTGATTTGCTAAGTGGTGATGGTTTCAGTCCTAACCAGCTCAGCACACTGATGGCTTCCTTGACACTGGCTTCAGGGGCCCTGTAAAGGACCCACTTGCCCAGTGTGCATTTCTCTGCAGAGTCCACACCTTGAACTCACCAGCTTGGCCTGGCCTGTTCCTTCTGCTGATGCCTAAGACTGTCTTGAGCTCTGCCTGTGCCTGGAGTGGATGCCTGGGCCTTTCCTTCCCATTACCACTGACTTCTTTAAAATACTGTTATCCTCTCAAATTTGCTCCTTACCCCTGATCAGCAAGCCCACCCTGTCCATTAACACCTCAAGGTCTGTCTCTAGAGACCCCGGGGGTCTAGAGCTCCTCCTCCCATGCTCACTTTTGGGAGAAATGAGGAGATGGGAAGGTTTCCCATGAAGCAGACAGAAAGGATGTGTGCACACTGAGGCATAGCCCAGGCCCATCCACCTGGCTTGGGTGATGCTTCTGGAGTCTTTGCTCGTCACACACAGTCGCATTCTCCGACTGAGAGTGAGCATGTGCCAGGGAGAAGCAGTGATGCCACTAAACATGTAGCAAGGGAAAGGGCCTGGGCGATTCTGGGGCTATTGTCGGGGGTTAGTACTCACACGAGGGTCAGCTAAGGTTCCGTTGCGAGGCTTCAGTGTTTTCCGCTGAAAAGAAAGATCGATGGTACTTAATGTGAGTTTTCACTAACCACACAGTTGAGCTGACATCTTTATTAAGAGATTCATGCCATAGCCGTCCCTTTGTTTCATGTGTGCTTTTATATGCCTATACATCTAACTAGAGAATAAAAAAGGACTAAATTATGTGTCGGTGACAGTTTGGCCCAATGCAAGTTCCATTCCCTGGCTCTCAGGCCCAAGGCAGGCCTTTGTGAAGCTGTGCAGGGAGTCTGGCTCTCATTTCCAAACTGAGCTGGAGAAATTCTACTGTTCCTCCTACTTCAAGTGGCCCTCAGGCTTTTTTTTTTCTAAATTAGCAAGTGTCATATCATCCAGTGGAGGTGCAATGCGAATCAGTATAAGGACTCGTCACTCCCAGCCCCCAGTGACCACAGAACCCAGAGTCCTGGAGGCTATGCAAGGGTTCCAGAGAAGAACCCCACCACCTCCAATAACTCTCCCCCTACAGATCTCTATACAGCCCTGAAGATAAAATGCATCCAAGGTCCCCAGTGCTACAGCTCTTCTTCCTGATGGTAAGCAATTTTCTACTTTCTCCTGAATCTCAAGAGCTTGCATTGACCTTGGATGCCTGTGGAATGACTCAGCCTTCTTCTAGTCTGGACCAATGATTGCTTCAGCTTTTACCTCCAGCCTGGGGCAGAGAGGCCACAGACAAACCACCCCATGTAATCCAAGGCACAGTGACTGGAGAGGGGGCCATGTCACTGCCACCTCTCTGAGGGGCCTAGATAGCTTCTCAGCATTTTGGCTAAGAGAAAGTGTAGTATCTGAGTGGTCTAGAGTCCCCCGCCCCCTCCATTAGTTGCTCTCCCAGGCAAGACACGAGGTTAACACAATCCTTGTATTGCTGTTGGCCAAGCACATCACCTCATGGTTAGTAGTTGCTCCAGAATTGTTTGTTGGATGGATACATAGGTGAATGAACAAATGTCACAGTTGTCACTCAGGAGAAGAGGTTTCTTAGTAGCCAGTAAATGGTCAGCTTGGACTTTTAAATCTTACTATCCTGGAGCATCTCAGCTGTCACCTTTTTAAAAAATCACCAGTGGGTTTAACTGGAAACTTATGAGCAGGGAAGCTGCCAACAGCAGCACCTGCCACATGGTGCCAGGTGTGACACAAGTGACAGAAGCCAAGGGTCTGGGGAAGGAAGGCCCTTGGGAGACACCCTCTGAAAACTGAGGTGGTCACACCTCTAGAGCTGTGAGCCACTGGGAATAAAGAGAGGGTGCCTGTAATGAGGGGTTGGGAGACCAGCCAATGCAGTTGATTAGCCCACAGTTGCCTGCGACTCTATGGGCTGGGTAGACATGTTTGGAATTAGTAAATAGATCAAACAATGTCTCTTTCTCTAGAAAACCCAGGGGATGCAGAACCTAGTCATTGAGTCTGTAGTCATAAAGCCAGGGGAGCAGGGAGCCCCAGTAGCCAGCTTTGTGAAGACTTCCTGGTGTGGCAGAGATATGCAAGGCCACCTATGTCAGAGGTTAAGAAGTGGAAGTTCTTCCATCTCCTTCCTTCACCAGGTTCTGTCTCACACCCAGCCTTGGAGAGGTCATGGGCAGCATCAATGACCTCACCACCTTCCCTGGAATCCACACAGCCCGGAAACCACTACTTCCATGGAGGGGGCATTCACCCTCACAGATGGAAATGAGGTCTGTACAGCCCGGCTGGTGGGGCCAAAGGGTCTCTCTACAGAGGAAAAGGTTTCCAGGTCATCGGCTTCTGGGTCAGCAGCCTCAGACGGCACTTCTTTTTTTTTTTTTTTCCCTTTTTTGTCTTTTTTACTGACCAGTAACGGGATTGCAACCCTCGGTGTTGCGCCCGCACCGCGCTCAGCCAGTGAGCGGGAACCGGTCTCCACATGGGATCCGAACCCTCGGCGGGAGCGCCGCCACGCTCCCAAGCGGCGCACTCTCCAGTGCGCCACCGGGCCGGCCCGTCAGACAGCACTTCTGCCTCTCAATTGCTCCACTCACAATGGTGTCACAAAGGAAAAAAACCATTCCCGTTGAAGAACTCTGTGTGTGTGTGTGTGTGTGTGTGTAGTGGAAGAAAAACAAAAGAAAGGGAGAGATGTGTTTCCTGTTGTTTCCTTCCCTGGGTGACATATGGCTGTATACACAAGAGGGAGTCTGCAGTAAGTCAGCTGGAGTGACCATGGGATGTTTCTAGGGGAACTTTTGCTCCATTCTTGTTCATTAAAGATAGAACACAGGAAAACAAATTGGTGCTTAAGTGGAGCTTGCAAAGGCAACAGTTGTTAAACGTATTGTTTTGTGCATTTCAAAATCGTGCTTACTTTTCCAACTGCAGCCCCAGCTCTTATACTTAACTTGAAGACAGTATGGCACTCAGATCTTTTATTAAAGCAGACATATAAGGTCAGTTCTGCATAAAAATATTATCTATTTTTAAGGATTGTTTCCACCCCTATCTCAAATGTTTTAAGGCTCAAAGAACTCCTGGCCTCGTACGTTGTATAATGTTTGAAAGCAACAACTGCAAAATCAATTTTTATCATGATTGGTCAATGTAGAAATGATAAGGCTACAGGGATGTAAAATGAACAATATGGTTGATGAGACACTGGGGCAAGGTCATGCATTAATCACCTGTTTTCTTGTTCTTGGTGGGCATGGTAAAAACCCCCTCTGAAAGAGAAAAGAGATTAGTGATACGATGGGTCCTTGTTTTTATTTTGTGAGCTTGGTTTTTCTGCCTTCCAGATAGATCTACGTAGATGTCCCTCTGTCAACTCAAAATCAAGGTGTCTTTGTGGAAATTATTTCTCATGATTCCCCAGTGATTAAAGGAAGTGTTTAGACTCCTCCCTGTCCTTGTTTTTATTTTGTGAGCTTGGTTTTTCTGCCTTCCAGATAGATCTACGTAGATGTCCCACTGTCAACTCAAAATCAAGGTGTCTTTGTGGAAATTATTTCTCATGATTCCCCAGTGATTAAAGGAAGTGTTTAGACTCCTCCCTGGTGCCTCATGACCTCTGCAATCAGCACAGCAAATGTATCACGCCTCACACCCACAACTTCTTGAGATGACGTGGAGCAGATTTCCATGCCATCATTTCAACGTATGTAGAATGCCCCGTTTTACACTTTTGCTTGGTAAAACTGTTCTTTTAAAACCTAGCTCAGTGCAAATGGTTCCACAAAAATGTCCTCAGTCTCAAAGCCAGGAATGACCTTCCCTGCCCCAGCCACTGTGTCCCTTCCCTCTCATTGCAGCATAGACACACTGCAGTCCTGTGGTTATGAATGTGCAGCCTCCTTCCTGGTTAGGAGCTCACACCTTGGATTCCCTCATGGCTTTAGATGTAGCTCAATAAGTATTTTCTAAGTAGAGACCTTCTCTTTATTGTTAGAGTAGCACAAGATGTGACACAGAAAGAGCACTATATCCGGATCAAAGGACATGGGTTCATTTGCAACAGAGATTCTTTCCCTGCTTTGTCCACATCAAGGGGTTGATATGAGGAGCTAAGGAGTTGTTTTAAAATGAAACCTATTTATATTCTCTTTCAAGAATAAGCTTGAGGTGGCTTATTAAAAGAAATATTGTTGAAATATCGTATATTTCAAGGAATTACCCATACCAATATATTAGTTTTCGATATATAATTCTACCATATTACTCTTAACATTGGCCCCCAAGGTTTAAGAACCCTCTCCTCCCATTTAAGTTATTTCCATGTGATCAAATTGTGCGACTTCTTAGTGGCAGAGTCAAGGCCACAATTTACTGTCTACCTTCAAAAGGATGAGTTAATGCACTCAGGGGATTAAGCCATAATATAAGCCAGCCAAGGTAACCCCTGGATGGATGAAATGTTAGTAATGACATAAGCATTGTGACTTGGGCAAGGGGCATCATGACGATTTTCTGGACCCTGGGAAATTCTGCTAAAGCTTGGTGTTAGCGAATCATGAAGCTAAGTCCTTGATTTAAACCGTCCGTCACTAGGATACCTCCATCAGGTGCTTCAGGGGATGCCCGCCGCAGCGAAGGCTCAGCTTCCAGTTCTTGGAAGCTGCGTAGCCTCCTTCAATTTCAAATTTCCTGGGGGTGAACCACCTTCCATCCTCACTCTGTACACAATTCTCCGAGGCTCCTGTAAAACCAAGACAAGCTGAGCTCCCGACTGGGAAAACACCTAAACTTGGCCCCCAACTATACTGCATCTGGAGCCACCCACGGGCTCAGGATCAGTAGCAGGAGAGTCTGCGTTTTCCTCTCAGACATCAGGGGCCCCACCCCCAGCCTGAAGGCCAGGGCAGAAGAGGACTCCATGCCCTGTGTGTATATATTTCTTTGACCTTTATACAATGACAGGGAGAGTAATTACCACCAAGATTTACCTTTTAAAAGCATTTTGCTATATTTAAAAGAGAAACATGAATGGCCCTAATGAATGAGTAGATTTCTTTCTCCTCCTTTCTCTGTGCCCTGCCAGTCCATGTGACCCCAGCTGGCCATGTGGAAGCTGTCACTACAGCTACACCTGCCTCCTCTTGGACAAAGTTGGTCATCCAGCTAATGGCAATCAATTATTTCTCATATTTTGGATTCATGGCTATTTTATGTTAAAAGTAATTATGGAAATATTATCTAGTGGGAAAAGTTAAATGACACATATGCAGTATAGTCATGGGGTAAATATTTATACTTGTTGGTGCCCAAAGAATTATATTATGGGAGGGCAAATCAATCATGGCAGAAGAACACTCATAATGTACTTTACCAATTATAATTTGCCAAGTATTTTATTTTATTTTTATTTTTATTTTATCTATTATTTCATTTCTTCTCTTAATAATACAGTGAGGCTAGTTTCAATTATTATTCTCATTTGGTGGAGGAGAGAGTTCGGGGCTGAGACTGGGAACCTTGCCATAGATGAAACAAACACTCTTGGTATAGCTGAAACTTGAATGCGGGTCTTTTGATTCTAAATCTTGTGCTCTTCCCACTTAGCATAAGGCCGTACAGGTGCTATAGGGAACGGGGCTGTGAAGGTTGATGTGGAATTTCTCAGGTGTGTACATTTCCCACCCAGGTGTTGAAGTGTTTGTCCTTGTGCTAGACAGGCATCCTGTAGGCCTTTTCCATGGGGAAGGGGAGAGGGCCTGGTAGGCTCATGTTTCATGAGTTTGAAGTGTAAAAATGTCATTGTTACTCCAACCTGTCCAGGGTGTTGTGCAGAAAAGAGTTAACATGGAGGGCCTGACACTATACTTAGAAGGGCCTATGTGCAAAGTTCACCCGTGGATGGCATCTGGGAATTTGGATTTCAGGAGGGTTCACACCAGTCCCAGAACTGATGAGTAGCTTACTGTGCCTGAACTGTCTGTGCATACAATATGGTGTATGCTGAACACCTGTTTTCCTCCTGGGAGTCTGGAATTTTGGTATGGCTAGGCAGAGGATGCCTGTGTAACTAATACCTGAAAAAACCCTGGACTCTCAGGCTCAGGCCAGCTTCCCTGGTAAACAACATTTCACACGTGTTGTCACAATTCATTGCTGGAGGAATTAAATGAGTCCCATGTGCTGCACTGGGAGAGGACTCTTGGAAGCTTGCTCTTGGTTTCTCTGGACTTGGCCCATGTGCCTCTTCCTTTGTCGCACTTTGCTTTGCCTCCTTTCACACTTATAAATCCTGGTCATAAGTGTGACCATATACTCAGTCCTAGGGGAGATCCTAGCAAATCACCAAACCTCGGAGACCCCCCCCCCAACACAGGAGTCTACTCCCTAAACACTATGCTATTCACATGGGCGTTTTTCAGTTGAAAAGTGTAGATCATGAAACTCACCTTGTTTCAATTTATCCTTATACAGAGTCCCCTTCGCCTTACCACAGGTCACGGGAAGTTCAGGACTTTGAAAGTTAATATTTCTATCTCTGGGAATTCTTGGACCTGCAAGGAAGCATGTTTTTTTCACCATCTTCCTCTAAAATTGTGTATGGTTTTTCCCAACCCATCTTGAGGAGCCTTTTTTATAACTTAAATGTTTTGGACGGATTTTCCCCAAGAATTAGCTATATTTCAAAGTCTTTCTTTTATGGCAGATTAACACCTATAGATAAATTCACCCTCCCCTCCCACCCTCTAAATCCTACACAAAAGCCTGGTGTGGCAGGATCTGAACTCCCAAGCTTGTTGGCTACGATTGCCTAACAATGACTTTCCTCCTGATAGTGTTTTGTTTGTTTGTTTTGTTTTTTGCAGCTGGCTGGTAAGGGGATCTAAACTCTTGATGGCAGGATCTGAACTCCCAAGCTTGTTGGCTACGATTGCCTAACAATGACTTTCCTCCTGATGGTGTTTTGTTTGTTTGTTTTGTGTTTTGCAGCTGGCTGGTGAGGGGATCTAAACTCTTGACCTTGGTGTTATAACACGGTGCTCTAACCAAATGAGCTAACCAGCCAGCCCACTCCTGATGT